CTGGCAGGAAGCAGGGCCAGCCGGGAGGGGGCCAGGGGGAGCAGGGCTGGTTGGGAGGGATCAGGAGAGCGGGGCTGGGGGAGGAGAATTGGCCGGCGGGGAATGGGACTGACCAAGGCACATGCAGATCCCAGGGCGCTGCCTGTCCCATGCACGGTCCTGACGAAGCACGAGCGAGTATGACTACCGCTCCACAACACGCTCGAACAGCACTCAGGAGCACGGGACAGGGCTTCTCCTCCTCCCCAAGGCATCACTCCTCCATCGGATGCAACCAGAGGCTCCCAGCTACCCCTCCCCCCGCCGCCGCCCCTGCCCGCCAGGCTTCCATCAGGCACCCAGCTGGAAAACTAGAAGATACCAGACATTGCACATGTCCGGTATTTTCTGAATTTTTTTTTAGCAGACAGAGGGCCCAAAAACTGGACTGTCTGTCTGAATACCGGACACCTAGCAACCCTAATAGTCAATATAATGGTATTCTGTTGATATGCGTTTTAGTAGTTAAATTCCTGGACTGTCATTGCTCAAAAGTGTTGTCATATGGGTAGAAATTGGGTAAATGTTGCATTTTATTAATTTAAGCAGAACTGGCTTAAATGGGTCCTGTGTGTTGTGTAGTCTTGCCTTAATCTTGGTATTCATGCCCATCAGTGTGAAAGAAGCTATTTGCATATATATTTGCATGTATATGCAACCTCACTTAAGCTGCAGGCCTGGACACGTGCTGTATCATTGTGGCCCCGGGGCTTACAAAGTTGAGTAGCCCTGTGTTAAAATGTAGTAACCCCATGAAAATACTCTAAATGCCATGTAGCTCAGCAGTGCCATTGCATAAAGAACATTTCTGTAATTCCTTTAGACATGCTAACTGCCTGCATATCCTTTTGTCTCTGAGCATATGGTATTTATGAAGAGATTGCCATAAATCTTTTAAAGATCCGATGATACCTCTTAGAACACTTTACATTTTGAGTTCTGCTTCTACTGTGGATCAGGTTGCTTGTGTTTGTTTTCCCAATCCCACAAAGTCTTTTTTATTTATTTAACTACTATTAATGGAAGACTTACTTTGCAAAGTAGGGAAGGAAAGGGGAGCTTTGATCTGTTCTTGTTTACTCCTTTTCGGAAAGCTGAATAGCTCCCAATAGACCCGGCAACGAATCTGTCATAACAGTTCAGTTTACAGCTCT